GACACAGAGGGACAAGTAGACCTGTTTAACGTCAGCACGTTGCTGGACTGATTAATTTTTCCACTGATCGTGTGAAAAGTTTACCCCATTTTACATTGCAGTTTTTAAATGCTGCAGGAAATCTCTCTTTTTTTGGCATTTTTAAAGGATTTGTTTTAGCCTGGAATGTTATTCCTCTGCTAATCTAAACACACACAGAGATGTTCAGTACAAGCAACAATGCTCTTACGTGTTATGACGTCACCATGCCAAACATTTTCATGATGACATCATGACGGGAGATGTCACACAGGCATCGGACACAAGACATTATGATGTCACATGCGTCATGGTATCTCTATGCAAATGAAGCAAATTTATTAGCATCATGAATTCTATACAGGTTGTCCTCATTTAGCGACTGCCTTCTTTAGTGACCATTCGCAGTTACGACGGTGACAAAAAGTCACTTTGTGACCAATTCTCGCATCGACGACCTTTGCCAGTGTGTAAAGCAAAGGAAAGCTGAAGGAAGGCTGTAAGCACAGTTGCGGTTTCACTTCCCGACCACTTTGCTTAACTGCCGAGTTGCTGGTTCCCATTGTGGTCACTAAATGAGGACCGCCTTTAATTTGCTTCATGTATGCAATGATGTCATGGCCTGCCAATGCCACATGCCCCATCCCCTTTTGGAGATGCCCATGAACACACACACACACACACACACACACACACACATACTTCTCAGCAGACAGATCCTAGTTCTCTGTGTTCTTATTTGTGCAAGAAAAGCAAAGGATTTATACAGTTTTTGATTATGAAAATACCACTCACCGTTCTTTCAGTTTTTGGTAACCATAAGGCCCTTTAGGGTTTGCATTCTGCAATGAGACAATTAGAGAAGGCAAAAATAAAAATACCACCGAGGACTGCACGCAGACACACAAGCCTCTCGTTCTAGCGGTGGCTGAAGCAGGCATTGTCTGAATGCGCAGGCTGCATTCCCTCTTCTCTTGGTGACGCGGTGACCTTTCGTTCGTGTCTTTCTTCCTGCCGGAGAAAGACATCGGGCGTGGCCAGCTTGCAGCCTGAATCACGTCGTGCTGAACTTGTACACAAATTGCCAGCGCCTTATTTGTGAGTATCTCGCTCACAGATGCACATCATGCCTAAATGGGCACTGATATTTTTATTTGTCTGTTGCGTTTCTGTCCTGCTGCAGCCCAACCACCCTTGGGGGTACGGATTCATTTCAGTTCGGTTGCCCCTACCCAGTTTACTGCCCGATCTGTTTCAAAGTGCTCCACAAACAAGGAACTGGAAGTCAAGAAGCCACGTCAGCCTGGTATAAAACTCACCGCTTCTCTTTCTCTTTCTTCCCCCCACCCCACGCCATCGGCAGAAGCTGCATCAGCCATGAGGGTTTATTTACCGATTCCCAAAACCAATCTGAACTGTAAATCACCCGTCCTGAGGCCTGGTGGACTGCGCTGACGCGACAGGCCAGTTTATGCAATTGACCGGGTCTTCTAGGCGCCCCCGACAGACTGGTTCTGTTCACGCCGTACATTTAACCAGGCTAAGCAAGCAGTTGCATTTGCACAACGTGCCAAGTTAGTTAGCCTTTCCTCTGACCAGCTTGTTTTGTGACTTTGAGGGTCGGGAGAACCCCTGTCGTTTGGCGAGTCTCTGGCTGAATGTACGGAGTAGCAAAATGGGTTAATTCAGTAAGCAGGTTAAGCAGGTTGTGGGAACACTGTTACGCCACTAAAATTAACCACACCATCCTTAAGTAGTCTTTGGCTGACTACTAGAACTACTGACTGTTGTCTTCCAGATTTCTGCTTCCAGATCTGGCCACCCAATTCAATATGTAATCTGAAGTCAATCATGGTCACTGAAGGCCTCCAAATGGACATTTGTGGGACATTTTTCATATGGTTTTTTAGTTGGCTGAAAAAACTATAACCGCTAAGCCAGTGTTTCCGAATCTTGGCCACTTTACGATGTGTGGACCTCAACTCCCAGAATTCCCTAGCCAGCCATGCTGGCTGGGGAATTCTGGGACTTGAGGTCCACACATCTTAAAGTGGCTGAGTTGGGAAGCAGTGCTTAAAGCAGTAAATTAGCTGCTTATCCACTTTGGCACATGCAAATGTCCACTTTGGCACATGCACTTTGGCAGAAAATGAATGTCCCTTCTACCTCACCAGAAATCTTCTTTTACACACACACACACATTGTGCCAGGCTGGTCTTTCATCAACGCAGCCTGGGATATTCTGACCCAGTGGAGCTGCCCAAAACTCAAACTGTTGGGTTCCCACAATACATTTAACTGTGTCAGTTACACATCCAGAAGCTGCATTTACATCAGGTTGAACCTGGTGAGTATTAATTTTATTTTTGTTTTAAATGTTGTCTGTCTGTTGGTTTAAGATACTGCAAACCCACTCAGTTAGTTTCTGGTTCCCTGTCTGACACAAACCCTGAAAGTAGGTTAAATGTCTTCCGAGGTTAAGCATGTTCTGTAAACACAGGCAATGTTTTAGCCGCAATCTTAGCCACCCAGTCACCTTCTAGGGGAGACGGGCAGCAAATTTTCGCCATAGAAGCTGCTTCCTCCACAGCGTCTCATGGGTATCTGCACAGATCTTTCTGCTGGGCTAGGATTTGGGGACACCAGAGCAGAATATCCCCCAACCCGGGCAGGAGAACCGGCTGCTAAGATCCTTCCAAACTCAGGGGAGATTCATTCACGCCTTGCAGATGGCAGCAGAGACGCCCCAAACTTCTTTGCTGCCTCCTGTGGTCAAGCAGAGGTTTCCAGCCCAGATGTGATATGCCTACCAAATATCCTGTGGTCGTCCAGGGGCTGGGCAGAGACGCCCGGAGCTGCCCTATTCCTGGCATTTTGCAAAGGATTCCACAGGAAGCACATAGAGCGATTCTCGTGCATAGGAGAGCGCATCAAGAAGAACTTGAGAATCAGAGGACTGGAAGGCACCCCAGGACCACCTCCTCCAGTGTTTTCCGAACTGGGCCCTTTAAGAGGGGTGGACTTCAACTCCCAGCATTCCCC